TGAAGCCTTCCAGACTGAGGGCTACATGTATAGAAAATCCTAGTTGTTTGCAATATTTCATCTTACCAGTCTAATCTTCCGTTTTTCTATATAACAGGATTCCTGGAAAATTGAACTTGTATTTTCTTTACTAGTATTATTCTAAAATTCTTGATTATGTTAAATAAAACAATAAATGTTGAATTTAAACAATGTCACCTAACATTGCAAACAAACACACAAGGACTATTAAAAGATACAATGCAATGTTGCATGTAGAAGTTCCTTATCATTGAGTCTTATTAGAAGTTCATTTGTAGTTGCGTACTAGTATATGACTAGGTTATTGTTACCATGCACTTTTAATAGAGCAAATACGGTATTGAATGTTGTATTACCACAAGGATGCAATAAATTATTATGTACATCTAAAGACAATTTTTCTCCGTTTCTCTTTACACATTCACGTTATGTCGTTATGGCCTCATCGTGGTAACCCCCCCCCCCCCCCGTTTTCAAATGGGAAGACTCTAAGCTTGGACAACATATTCAGTTTTGGAGTGTAGTTTAGCGACGTTTTTTTCAATATTAAAATATTTTTTTCGCAATTGCAGTTCAACATTCAGTGAAACAACATAATACTAGTATATTACCAAGCGAAGCAAACCAGGCCACGAACTTCATTCATTCTCGCGAGACTTATCCGCTCGAGAGTGCGCAAATCAACGTGCGCAGTAGCTAAACCCATGTGTTGCAGAGGTCATTTTCAGGTTAAAGTGCTGTCCGACGAAACTGGGAATTAAACAACAAAAATGTCGAAGCGTGTGGGTGATTTTATGGGTAGAATGGGTAAAGGCCCAGCTGGTCTCGGTACTGGTATGAAATTACTTGGAGTAGCAGGCGCTCTGGGCTATGGAATATACAATGCAATGTATACCGGTAAGTACCCTTCGAAGAAAATCAAAAATGGCGGACCCGTTCCTGAAGCCATGTGTTTCCATCACGAAATCGACAGTCCGATACGAGACATTCGACCAACTTTACTTCTGAATGAAACGTATTTTTAATAGAATATCATATGTTTGCAATACCATTCGAGTTATTCTTGGTCGTTCCTAAAGCTATTGTGATAACGCTGCAATGGCTGATCCCATTTGCATCATTCGCCAGGGATCGTTGGTGGCGAAACTTGTAGAGGGTGCCAATTGGAAGGTGGGCTGCAACAATCGCAGAACATAAAGGCATTGTTTACCACTTTACGAATGTATTTGATAAAGTTCTCGAATAATATTAGTAATCGACACCTAATTGACAAACAGATTTTTTAGCTGATGTTTACCAAGATTACTTGTAGTTGACCCTATGTCCCAAGCATATGATTTTTTGATAATAGTTAAAGGCACATTTTACACATTTTTGTTCATTGTCATTTCCAAATAATACCCAATCAAATTTCATCTACTATCCTAATTAAACATTGTATTGTGCATGATTAGGATGATGGAATATTGAAATGTATTTTGGAATTTTATACACAAAAAATAATGATGTGGTTTTCACAAGAGAATAAACATGAAATAGTTAAAAATTAGAAAACTGCTGTTGATCAATCGGAAGGATCACATGACATCACCATGGATAAAATGTACCCCCTGAAAGGGATGGCCCGGGAGTGCATGTGAAGTTAGAAATTTAAAAATAGACTATGTACAGCACTGGTAGCTTATTGGTGTTGGGGCACATTTATAGCCAATCCAAATGTCTCAATTGGATTTGAATGAAATGTTCGAGAAATTTGTTATAAACAACTTATGAAATATGGAAAAGTATCTAATCACTTGTATTATCTTGTTTTATAGTGGAGGGTGGCCACCGGGCAATTCTATTTAGTCGAATAGGGGGTTTACAGAAAGACATAATGGCAGAAGGTTTACATTTCCGAGTTCCATGGTTTCAGTATCCTATTATATATGATATTCGTAGTCGACCAAAAAAAATCACATCACCAACAGGAAGCAAAGGTAAGTTTTCTCTTGACAGATGATGGTGAAAAATAATTGTTGCCATTGCATTCAAAAAGCATCTCTCATAATGTTTGTCAACATGTGTTAATTGCAGTTTGTCAACATGTTCTGGAACACCACTGCCTGCAAATACATTATCTGATCATTTTAAATGTCTTAAGGAGTTTCAGTGTTCTCCCCAGGCCAAAACAGCGTCGCGGGCCCCGGCGCGATCAGATTTGCCCGCGACACTATGTGTTTCCTCCGCGATGCTATTATTTATCCCGTGATCTGATTTCTTCAGTCTCTCGCAGACTGTAAGTTTCCTGGCTAACTAGTTAAATCTACAAATGCATTGTATTAACGCCAATTTCCCGGGATAATCCCCTGTTGTTTCTCATTGGTTGGATATCGTTTTAAAAAAACAAAGCAGTTCTATAAAGACAAAGCCGTAAGCCCCGGTGTCAAACGCTCTTTGCCAAACGTATATTCATATGCAAATGATATAGTCACACTTGGGGTCAAAAGCCACATGTTTCCGGTGTGTACGAAACGTATTTTCATTATTATTTTTATAAATGTAGTACCGTTAAAGTCCTAATATAAACCGCATACGTAATAGTAACCGCACCCCCAATTCCGGCTTCGGGGTTAAAGAGTTCTTAACAAAAATTGAAAACTTGAAAAGTACCTATTACTAACCGCACCCCCAATTCAACAAGACCGTGACTGACTTCATTGTTTCAACCAGCTGTTCCAAAACGGCATTGTTCCTAATCCTATTCATTTGTTTCGACAACATGCCTAAAAATATTCACACCTATTTATTGTTCAGCGGTGATAAGATGTCAGACCACAGGCGGTCAGACAGGCAATGAAACTGCTTTTGTTCTGGCGGCGACCTCTGTCAATACTCTTTCTGAATACGTCCGTGTTTCGTAAGTTTTAGACTATGAGCTTTTATCACCGTAAAAGTGTTAAACTGAGCATTGAAGAATAATTTATCTTTCGAAAACAAATAATTTCTTGATTTAAAAAAAACAAGTCATTGTCAATGACACGTCCCCGTTCCGTTCATATTTGAGTGACATATACATTCAAAGCAGATCATGACCGAAATGCACCTGCATATGTACAACACATTGTGCTAAATCTGAACAAAATCCATCCATGCATGACTGAGATCCGGTTCTGGAATTGTGAAAATACGTGATTTTGATGCATTTTCGGCCTTAAAATGGCCATCATTCCACTATTGTTAAGCAGATCATGAAACAAATGCACATATCTATTTGTGACATGATGTACAGTACAGTTCTCGCGGAAGCTTTGGCTTCACTTCAGCGTCAGCTTCGCTTCAGCATCGCATCATGATGGCATTGCTATGGCTTCAGCGTCGCTTCATTGTCGCGACATAAAAGGTTGAGGCGGTTATCGCATCGCTTCATTGTAGCCTCATTATGGCGACAATGTGGCATCAGCTTCGCTTCATCGAACAAAGAAGTAATTTACATATGTAAACAATGCTGAGAAGTATCGTAGTTAGCCGTATGTTCACACCGATACTCTTTGCTGTCTTACACGCAAAGCTGTATTATCTAAATGCTCGGTTCAAGCACGGTTACTTCTTCTAGTAACCGTGGTTCAAGCTAAATCATGCATGACCCCGTCCAATTATCAAGATTGACTGTTTATGTTCGGCGACGAATTCTTTCCTTGGCGGCCATTGGAATCAAGCAGGTAGACATCAGGAAGAGATTGGAGGAGGAAGATCGAGTGTTGGTTTCTAAAAATTCGATCGGCAAATTTTTACAAC